AGATAGGTACCAACCAAACATTTTAAAACGCATTTCGGTTATTACCAGTTTTTTCAGTCTATTTTGCCACCATTGGTGTAATTTAACTTTAATTGTGATACAATGTGCACTAGTGGTGTAAAGAAAAAAGAGCTCTTAGCAACATCAAAACAGACAAAGAAATTGGCATGCACTGTAGTGTACATTTTGTACATTATAATTATGCATAAAAATGCAAATCGGTCGTATTTTTTGATCAAATTGCAGCGAACTCGAATTGATTGACCCGACGATAATTAAGATTATGATAATGAAATCGTAAAAAAGTCTTCGTCAAGCTGCAAATAATGAAGTGATAGTCGTAGGGATTATTGACGTAGTTGAAAGCTATGCAGTTTTTAAGGTAGCTATTAGCTCGTATATTAAATCTAGCAGAAAGACGACAGAGTCGCAAATTTCAATTGAGAACGGTGGAGTTTAAGACGCTGGCAAATGCAAGTGGAAAGCAGAAATTACGATTATGAAGGGTATAAAGTCATAAAGATTAATTTTATATGAATAATGAAGTGCAAAGTATAATGGCCGATGGAAATAACCGCTTTCGTTTTGTCGTAATGCCGTTTTGACAGAAATAATGACGACGACATCTCAATTTGGTTGAACGGCTGAGATAAAAGGCCGTCATTAATAATTCGTGACGTCAGGTAATGGGCCCGGTTCGTGGACAGCTCACCGCTCATTTTAATGTTTTGTAATTTGAATGTCATGTCGCTGCTTCCATTACTTGATCAATGCCTACAACTTCTAAGTTCTCCATATCAAGGCTTTACTCTTCCCTTTCAGTTATTGCTTGTATTCTAGTGAAAATATTGCCTGGATCAAAAAATATAAAACATAAAAGAAGTCCATCCGAACAAATGGAAATCCTTTAAAAAATCATAAAGTCACTTCAGAATACATTGGCGATGGTATCTCAACAAGAGTCTTAAGGATTCTGGTAATGTGGTTGCACCAGACTTCTTGATATTGTATATGAGCCATTTTCAAGAAACACCCGCTTTCAGGAAAATGAAGATCAAAATATTTTTTTTGCTTAAATTGACTTTTGGTTGGATTTTTATAAATTTTTTTTACGTTTTTTCAGAAAAATGTGTTTAGGTAGCTTAATATATCCCCACTGTGTTACCAATTTGAAATCCAAAATTTAATTCAATAAAAAAGGTTGTTACAAAAATAATTTGAAATAAAATGTACTTAGTTCACAAACTTCTGACTCCAATTTTTTATTTTATTTATTATTAAAAATTGTATGCTTTTTTTTAAATATGTATGTTCGTTAAGTTACTTTTTAAAAGAAACCATTCCGATTCTTTGTTAAAAAAAACAATACCATTAATATTTTCTTTTAGTCACTGTATTAGTGAATTAAACTCTAATTTATAAACACGTATTACCAAGTGATAGTGTATAAAAATCATTTTAAGTATTTTTTTTTAACAAAAACTAAAAAAAGTAACGAAATAGACATTGGTATCACAACGGACAGGGGTACACAAAGGATAACGTAAAAAAGAAACTATATAGGGTGGTACGATTTTAGAGTAATGCATAAACAAAATCCCTTGTAGTGGTGCTCACTTGCAGAATAACAACTTAGATTTCTAAATTGTAGACACCCTTTTTCTTTGACTATAAGCTGGTGAAGGTCCCTTTTAGTACTTTTATATTGCGTGGAATTTTTCCTTGGATGTAATCTATATCATGAGTTGTAATTACAAATAATTTTAAATTGGTTAATCATAAACAACTTTTAATAAAAACGACGGTAAATATCCACTTTTTTGTCGAAAAATTCTATTGGGTTACCCTTAATTCCATTGCGTTACCATAAGGTAACAAAGTGGACTCGGTAACGCAGTGGACAAAGTTTTGTAAAACCATATTTAAAAAATAATAATAAGACATTATAGTCATTAATTACTCTCAATGAGCTTTACTGCCCTAAAATAAACATAAACATGAAAAATAGTATTTTTTCTTACGTTATTTTTTATTATTTTTTTGAGTAACTTAGCGGACAAACAATTATTACATTCGCGTTACCCGCACCTGTTTCAACCGATATCTTCTTCCTGATTGAATAAATAAATTCAGCTGGGGAATGTGTACGTCCGAACATCATTTGTTGATCACGTGAGTACCAAAAAAGTTGCCATATATATGTTTTTTTTAATATTCTATCGGTAACGCGACGGACGTAACGCAACGTAAAAAATGTCTGGGACATGAGTCAAATTTAAAAAAAGTAGATTAAAATTAATTATTTTATATATAAATTGTTTACTGTAATAACTAAGGATGTTATGGATTGCTATAAAGCAACACAAAGTTCTGGTTATTAGATATTAAAAAAAAACATGTATGTAAGTTTTATAAAACGCTAATGGGACATGCGAAAATGTGTGTTTCACAAGTTTCAAAATTAAAAAAAAATTATTCTAAAATAACTAAACAAAAATTTTCTGAAAGAGTTTACTAAGGGCTTGTTAGGCTTTCACTTGGTTTTCAAATCAATAAGATCCGATAATTTTTAACAAAGAGGAAGGCGGGTGTTTTTTAAAAACGACCCATATTAATGATATAGTTAAATATATGGCAAATTGTGAAATATGCATGTTTGTTGGTGACACTATGATAGTATTTAAATGGTTGTGTTAAAATAATATGTGTCTGAATGTTAATAAAATTGGTAGTAAAAGCATACTAAATATATCAGTTCACTAAGTAAATTAAACACATCCAAAGCAATCGAATCAAATATAAAATAATATTAAAAATTAAAAGAAATAATTTTTATAACCATTTATGTAAGTGTTCCAAAAATTGATTTTATCCTCCGTGAATCTGTTTTTGCTTTGAATTTTATGTAACGGATGGCGCTTTAATCATTTTAAATAAGCAAAAACCTCTGTTTACGACATTATAGATGCATGCACTGAACCAAAAAGGTACGTAATATTAATTAAAAAGTTATTGGCTTAACGAACTCTGTTTATCGTTTTTCGTCCGATGAACGAGTTAATTGGGCCAACGAATACTTGTACATTAGTCGATGTTTATAATTTTATCACTCAATTAACTTTTTTAATTGGGTTAATAAAAATATTTATTGATTTAATAAATATTATTATCGAATTGATGGATATGTTTGTAGAATCAATGAACTTATTTATTGATGCAATCAAGATATTCGTTCATTCAATCAACAGGTTTATTGATTATATGAAAATATTTATTGATCCAATAAACGGGTTTATTAATCTATGAACACATTCATAAGCTCAATCATTTTTGTTCATAAAATCAACGAACGTATGCATTGATCTAATAAACGGGTTTATTGATCCAATGAACACATTCATTAGCTTAATCATTCAATCAACTCGTTCATTAATCTAACGACACTATTTACACTGCTTAATACACTACACTACTTAATAAAAGAATACATTAAAAATAAATAAACATTTATTGTCAAAAACTATGCATTTAACATGTTTGCCTTATGGAATGGAAAAGATGAACAGTTGGTGAAAATATACCATTACATATTTTTATACTGCCGCATAACGCCCATCTGAAAATATTGTAGTCTTTTCTTTAAGGTTACCTGGAACTTTCAAAAAATCAAAAATCCTCTGAAAGCATTACTCCCAATGGCTAATTTAGCAGTCGCTCTTGAAAAATGCTCCTTCAAAATCCATATCAATCTAAAATAAATCATCTCGTAATATTACTAAACATTCGATTTTTAATTCATACTTCGTACCAATCGATATCCCTTTAGAATTTTGTATTGAGACAATTTTATCAAGATTTGTCCACAGTTTTCTGCCATTTCTACGAGACCTTCCTTCGCCTAGGTAATTAGGGACTAGACTGGATAAATCTTATAGTGTCCCGGCAATTTTTGTTTTAACCAATAAAATCTCTTATATTTTATGTACTGTTTATCAGCTTAATAAACGCATTTATTGCCCCAACAAATATATTCATCAGTCAATAAATGTTCGTTGAGCCAATGAATGCATTTATTGGCTTAGAAAAACCATTATATCAGTTAATAATTGAATTCATTGCCATGACGTACAATTGTTCGTAATATCAATCAAAATATTTCTTTAAACCAATGTACACGTTCATTTATTTATCAAACTGATTCATTGATATAACGAATGCATTCATTGATTAATGCCCAGTATTCATTAATCTAACGAATTTTGTTTATCAATTTACGTAAACGCGCTTGATGTACTATGTTTATTGGCCCAATGAACACGATTCATTGGGTCAGTAAAAAAAGTTACTGACTTCGTAGGAAAAAAGTAATGAACAGTAATTCGTTAAACCAATAACCCTGTTAATCATCCAAGAACCCCTAATAATTGACTTAACGATTATATTCATTGTGCTAATAAATAAATTTCGATAAATAGTGTTTATTGATATTACGAACAAAATTATTTTCAGTGTGTGATTCCTGAAGGTCAGTTAGAATTTAGGTATATGCAGATGAGAGTGTTGCTGTTTTATAATTCAAAAGTTTAAGTTCATTAATTTGCTATTTAAAAAACTATCCACCGTGAAGTGTAATCTCAGTAAGTAGATTTTTTTATAAATATTTTATGTATATACAATTGTATTTTTAAAAAATATTAAGGTTTAAAAAGATTCAATATTTTATTTCATATATACAAATGGATGTTTAAAAAAACATACGAAATCCTAACCTCCGTGAAGCTCTAATATTTAAAATGTATGATTTCTTAAAATTCTTGCATTAGTGCAGAACCACTTATGTTATGTTATCACTAGACCTGGCTTCCCAAAAACCCCATTCTAGACTAACAGTGAAACAACCAAAAATTAAAAATAATCATTTTCACTTGGTGGACATCTCAATATATTCACCCAATTACACTACAAGAAATAATAATAAAACATCTTTTCAAAGAGTGTGATAAACCCTTGATGTTGTGTTACTTAGGGGTAGTTAATAAATCAAATAAAGTATAACAGTGCAAAACAATTTATTCACAACTTAAAAATTATTTTTTACATGCTGCAGGCTCGTTGTCAAGAAAACTACAGACTGTTGTGACAAAAGAAGCGCGAGGTTCTTCACTTAAATCTTTATTATAAACGTCGTTAAAAAAAGTTGTTGGTGGGTTTGTAACGTTGTAAGCTCTTTCGTTATATTTAGCCATTATTTCGTCCCCTTTTTCGCCTTCCACGCATTTTTTAAGGTTGGTCCAGGATATGTCTGTCTCGTTTGCGCACTAAAAATAAGCAAAGGTTTATTGTGATAAAATTCATTTTATAAAATCTAGCATGATAAAAAGATCACTAAGAAAATTAAAATTTCGACGTTTTCTAAAAGAAATATTTAAAGTCTATTCTATAAACGAAGCAGACTTGTTGTTTTATTTTGTACATCATATAATATGAGTTAATGTTTCTGTTATAATCAATAATTTGTTTTAATGCCTTACAGTTATTTAAAAAAACTACCCAACACCCAACAGTAGGTTGAAAATGTGACCATTATTGCAATGAAAATAGTTTATTGAAATAACAATTAATTTGTTGTTAAATTCACATAAATTTTATTAATATTATAAAAAAAGTTTTATTTTAAACAAAAAGTGATTTGTAAAATTTACAAAATTTCTATGAATAATACCATTAGGGTTTTTGTAAACGGTATAGAACTGTTTTTTTGGACAAATAATAATAACTATATTTATCAATGGCATGAACGCGCCATTTTAAAAACACTCTGTATAAACAATATAAAAATCTCAAAAACGTTATATTTCAAAAAATTCCATTGGCAATAATATTTTTATAGTCCAGTCCAGCTACCTTATATTTAATTTTGTAAAAGAAATATTTCAAAATGTGTCTTACCTTTTGTAATGTCTTATCATCTGAGGGATTATCAGCAGCCAAATCACAAGCAATATAAGATGTAGCTTTATCAATTGGATTTAAGTCCAAAACGCACCCATGGTAACGGTTTCCTTTACATTCATCCCTACCATGTACACAATAGAATTTTCTGGTTCCAGATATCCTGAATACTACAGTCTAAAATTGAATTATCATTAAAAAATAAATATAAGCTCTAATATAATAATTAAGCAAGTCACATGTAAATGTTGTGGAAAAGATAAGTGCGTGACGATACAACGTTTTGGTTAAATTTTTTTTTTGAAAGCGTCCAGTCAAACACTAGCAGCACTAGATATATCCTTGTTAAAACTTACCCGTCCAAATGGAACTAGATCCAACTTGATATTTTGGCTGAGTTTCTTAAAACCTGGAATGGCTTGTTCGACCAAATACTTAATGCTGCCTGGACATAGCGATTTATAAAATACTGTAACTTTAACTTCCTTTGCCTGTAAAAATATTTTACTATTAATGGAAAAGTAAAGCTCGTATTAATACCACAATTAATTTACTAAATACTTGTTGATTTGACTAAATATTCGTGCATTATATCTTTGACAAGAAAAGCATAAAAGGCCGTTTTCATACAGAATTACACATAGATATAACTGTAAATCTACAAGGACCTTGACCTTGACCTTTAACCTTCGAACTTTAAAAATAAACCGAGTCCGCGGAACTTTGCTGTAACCATTGACCCTTTTTCTTTAAAACCTTATAGTTTTACAGCTATAACAATTGTTTCAACAATAATAATAATAATAATTAATAATAATAATAATAATAATATTAATAATAATTATTATTATAATAATTATTATAATAGATTTAAATTGCCAAAAATGCACTAAGTTGGTCTTTATCTATGTGTAAAGTTTGAATTTGGACCTCAAATTACCTGATTTTAATAAAAGAGAAATATTTCTAAAATTGTTGCCTTACCTTTGGAGCCGCGAAAGCCACAAAAAGAAGGGCGGATAGTAACAAAATCACTTTCATATTTGCAAATATTTTTAACGAATTAAATTAAAAAATTAAAAATTCTCTTTATTTATATCGGAGATAAACTATAAATTATATGATGTTTCTAAGAATTTAGTTGACATTAAGGTTATCGCTCATTCAAGTTAAATTTAGACAATAATTAAAATTTATCACAAAAAAAACAAAAATTGTTGGGTATAATATCCATAACAATACTTTATGCGGCATTAAAGAAAAAAAACTACAACAAATATGACAAAAAGTTTCCAAAATCCCTTAACACTCACCTTAAAAAGAGATAAAATCCTGGGTTGGTTTTCGGTCTCTCAATAAACAGTGTTAATCCGAATGAAGAAATAAATTGCATACAGTCCATGTAAATATAAACTTTACATATTAAATACAATAAATACACATTTTAGTAATAAAAATTTTTTGACAGTATAAATACCCATTTAAATTATGTTATTTTTCGTCATATGACGCAAATCACCCAATCATTTCAACATTTAACTGATAACAACACTCATGTAAGTTTTCAATCAATATGAAAATATGACACCACACGGAAAAAAAAGATTTCTAAATGTAAGAATACCTTTATTCTTAAGAAAATTCACTTGATTTGAGTATAATTTGCTTGGGCTACGAATAACTTAATCTTCTTATAAGAATAAACCAATCCTTAAATTAAAAAGATTTTATTTCTTAACTTAAAATTAAGTACAGTTGAAATAAGATGATTGACCTAATATTGTCAAGACTAAAACTAACGTTAAACTAAATAAAAATCTTTTTTAAAACAAGCAGATCCTATTCTTGCTTGTTAAATGTTAAGAAAGACTTTATATGAAATAATCTTATTCTTATTTTAAGATTAACAATCGATTAGACCAAATTTTAGAAAATTCCCTCCAAGCCCATTCTATTCTTTAAGGGATAAAACTATACTGGATATAAATATACTTATATTTATTCTAAGAATAGTTAATATTGGAACGACTGACCTATTCTTAAAAATATTCCCTACTCCCGAACGTGTCTGCTAACCCTGTTTTACACAGCGTCAGCCCAAAGAATTGCGTCAGCCCGGCAAGCATTGTTTGTTACTATTTGGTTGAGTGTTTCGTATAATATTTGTTTTAAAATTATGGAAGAACTGCTTGATAAGTGGAATTGAAAAGAATTAAACATAAAATTTATGTAATGCATAATTCCATTTTTGCGTGTAGTATTTTAAATAATTTTAGTTGTTGGAGTGATATTAGGTCGGCCGGGGAATCACATAAAAGCAATTATGTATATTTTACCTCTGTCGTGCGGCAGAGTATAGGTACGAATAAAACATTGTGGTTAAACAGGATAGGTATTTGAAACATTGTAAAAAGTTATGTTATAAAGACAATGCTATAGACCAATATAATTTTTTTCTGGTTAAGTTAAGCAATAATTGTTTCAAATATTGTCTATATTTTTTTAACTCTTGCTCGACTTTAAAGGTTAGGATATAATGACCATGTTTATTTTAAAAGGTAAAGAGTGGATTATCCTATCTATTTGTCTTTATCAGTCTTAGAAAAAAAGAGAAAGAATAATCCACTCTTACCTTTTGAAATAAACATGGTCATTATATCCTAACCTTTATTTAAAGTCAAGCAAAAGTTAAAAAAAGAATAGATAATATTTGAAACAATTATTGCTTAACTTACATAAAAGATACCTTATATTTAATCCAAAAGTAAATATTGTAAATCCAAGAATTATAAAATTTGTATGAAAAAATACTCTTTCTTAAATTAAGCATAGTTTATATTTTATTTGACGGTGTTCTGTCTAAAAAAAGTATTGCTTACGTTTAAAACAATGTGATAGTTTTTCTTGATATAAGAATAAGTTTACCCTTGCAACTAACATTGAATTTATATCCAAATAAGTATAGGTTAGTTTTTGCATTCAACCCACTATATTCTTTAAATAAGTATTAATTTATATTACAAATAAGAATAAATCAATCCTTAAATGAAAATTAGCTATACTTGCGGAATGGTGAGATGAACATATACTTGGACCGAGAATCTCGGTCCGAGATGATTAATCTTTAATATAGAATAGCTTTTTTTCCCTGCAAGACTGTCAATTTCATAAAATAAATTTTAATATGTCACGTTTTGGCAATTTGAATTTTAAAGCTATAAACGAGCTTACTTCCTAAGAAGTCCCAGAAGCCAACTGAATGGCTTGAGCGGGTTAGGGGCAGGAACGGACCACGGGCTTAAAGTCCCCCTCCCAAGGACTATTCTATCTATGATCTATGATAAAATATGAAAAATACATTATTTAATGTTTTATAGTTTGTAGTGAAATTGAAAAATTTAAGATAAATTTAATATATTTTAAAATAAAATCACTCAAATATTTGATTCAGGAGTTGTGACACGCCAAGGTACTGATGTTTTGAATATTTATTATGTTTTTCCACAAACGTGCTTTGGAAAAAATACATTAAAATTGGGTGGACAAGTTAAAAAAACCTGGATCTTTTGTAATATATTAAAATATTTACAAAAAATATTAACATACCTACTCTATTGACTGATGACATAAAGTTGTCCAACTTTTGTAAACTCACCCATATAATTAAAAAATAACATTTTTTTAAAGTAAAAATTACTACTTATTAAAATTATATCAAATATATTTTCTGTTTTTTTTGTCTGATTGAAAAGCTGAATGCTTGAAATCAATTGATTTATAACTTTAATCGGTTTCATTGTAAAATAATTACCCATAACAGTGAAAATATTTATTGATTAATTTTTTTTTGTTCATATAAATTTAAATGTTTTAACATTTTGTTTTTTTGACTTTTATCTGATTTTCAATATTTTTTCCCTTATAACTTGTCACATAACATTTGGTATTTTTATGTTTCTTATGATATTTTTAGAATAATTTAGAAACAAAATAACACAGAGTTTTATAAAAGTATATAATTTTGATCAGCTAAAATCCAAATTGTTACACCACCCCACGGTGCAAGCCAGTCATTTGTTTTAATTACTATAACAGAAACAAGAATCTGCGTTGGCCGTGGACCCTTCATCATCCGCCCTCTTGATGCTCTTTTTTCAGCAATGGACGGCAAAAATTACGACGTCATGTGTTGGTCGGATTTTATTTCGTTTGCCGGTCCGTAGATTTATTGCGTTACTGGCAATTTGCACGGGTAAATCAAGAAGGGCTTGGGCATCGGCGGTTTGCGTGTTTTACCGATAATTGAAGCTGCGGACACGCTTCGTATACTCATTGATTGAGAATTCAATGTGGAGATTTTATTGAAAAAAATAACATGATTTCAAATAATTTACATGTATCGACATGGTTTAAAAAGGAGCACTTTGATTTTAAATCAACGGCTTTTTTAGCTCTTTAAATACAAAAGAAAAGTTGCATTTGTTAACTGTCATTTAATAATAATATTATATTAGCTTTTGTTCTCAATTTGTCAAAAATATTTTAATTATAGAAAGAATACACTGTTCTGGAATATTCCCAAATCTCTAGATAACTGTGAAAAATTGTAAATTTTCAAGAAATACATTTCGATTTATAACCTTTGTAATCTGTTTATAAAATACTAAAATTTGACATTTGACGGTGGCACACAGATTCCCCTATTGTTTCATAGATGGCGCTCTATACAAATTTTTGATTTAAATCATTTTAAGATAATAATAAGTATTTGTCGTGGAAAAAGTATAGTATGCACCTCGTTTATAAATTTTTCTATACACTCATTAAATTAAATTCGTATATAAAATGGCGTTTATCAAACTTGATACATAATATACTATTTTAATATTTAATTTTCACCGAATGAAATAATGTATAAAACTTAAACCAAAGGAAACTTAAATATTTATTAAAAAATCGTGGGTACTTCAAAAAATCAGATTTAATTTAATAAGATAATTATTATCAAAAAAAGTGATATTTTTAAAGAAAAATTATTGCAGAATCGTATAAGACGAAATATCGAATAAAATTGATTTTTCTGTTTATTTATCTTTTAAATTTTCTTCAATTTTTATTAAAATTCAGTTTATTTGTTAATAACTAAATTTTTATATTATAAAATTATAAAAATTTGTTAAAACATAAAAATATGTATTATGTTCCACATAAAAAATCCCACTGATATTTAAATAAGAAATGCATTTGATTAATAAAGATTATGTTTCTCAATTTAATGTTAATTTTGTCTTATTTTCTGAAAATTATAAATGGGTTATTTTTATTAAAAATAGTACAATAATCCTTTAAATTAAAGGATTTAATGCTGGCAGGTAAAAAGTGACCATGGTGCGCAATTGATAATTATCACCGAATGAAATAATGTATAAAACTTAAACCAAAGGAAACTTAAATATTAGTTAAAAAATTGTGGGTACTTAAAAAAATCAGATTTAATTTAATAAGATAATTATTACCAAAAAAAAGATATTTTTATAGAAAAGTTATTGCAGAATCGTATACAGAAGAAAAATCGAACAAAATTGATTTTTTTACAGCACCATATAGTTAAATGACTCACCCTGTACATTATATAAAAAAATGCATGGTTGTATGCTTAAACTCAAATAAAAAATAGATTTTTTCCATTTATTTATTATTTTATTTTTCTTACATTTTTATTAAAATTCAGTCTATTAGTTAATAACTGAATTTTTATATCATAAAATTATAAAAATTTGTTAAAACATTAAAATATGTACTATGTTCCACTTAAAAATCCCCCTGACATTTTAATAGGAAATGCAGTCGAATAATTAAGGTTATGTTTCTCAATTTAATGTTAATTTGGTCTTATTTTCTGAAAATGATACAATACATATATTTTTTTGTGTCTAAAGGTCTTAATTAGTATAGTAAATTATATTTACATGGTATGATTTGTCCATATTTTTTGTAACACATCTACTCCATTCTTAAATGGAATGGGCTAAAATAGTAATAGTAATAATCTTGTAGGTCTTAATTCGGGATATATTAGTAAAATGATAAATATAAATTAAAGAAGAACTAGGGAGGGAACAAAACTGGATCAACAATAATCTGCAGGAAAATGCAAAGGAGCACAGAAGGAAATATTTAAATTATCTATTAAATTTGTGCTAATTAAGTTTGTTAGGGAATTTCTGAATTATATTCCGAAACTATACATTTCAAAGCTATGGAGCTATATTAATTATATAGTTGAAATTAAGTGGGAACTTTGTTAGTTAAGATATGGTGGGCCATATTGCCTTATCAGAATACAGGGTGTTTTACGTTCGTGGTCCGTTAGAAGTTTTTGGGAAAAGGCAAAATATATCGATTTGAAATTTTTAAAATCGTTTATAAACCAGTTAAATCTAGTTTAAAAGATTCCATGTCAATTCTTTAACATTTTTTAACAAATGTTTTAAAAGTCTAAAACCTATCCTCCGTGACTGTTACTCTTTCTAGGTTAACGTATATGTTTTCAAATATCTGAGGTAGTAAAAGCATACTAAAAATATCAACTCACTAAGTAAATTAAACACATCCAAAGCAATCGAATCAAATATAAAATATTATTAAAAATTAAAAGAAATAACATTTATAACCATTTATGTGGGTGTTACAAAAATTGATTCTATCCTCCGTGAATCTGTTTTTGCTACAAAAACTTATTTTAAATATACAAGGGGATGTTTTAAAAAACATACTAAATCCTAACCTCCGTGAATCTATCTTCCGTGAAGCTCTAATATTTAAAATGTATGATTTCTTAAAATTCTTGCATTAGTGCAGAACCACTTGTTTTGTTATTACTAGACCTGGTGGCTTCCCAAAAACCCCATTCTACCCTAACAGTTAAACAACCAAAAATTAAAAATAATCATTTTCACTTGATGGACATCTCAATATATTTACCCAATTACACTACAAGAAATAATATTAAAACATCTTTTCAAAGAGTGTGATAAACCTGTGCTGTTGTGTTACTTGGGGGTAGTAAATAAATCAAATAAAGTATAACATTGCAAAACAATTTATTCACAACTTAAAAATTATTTTTTACATGCTGCAGGCTCGTTGTCAAGAAAACTACAGACTGTTGTGACAAAAGAAGCGCGAGGTTCTTCACTTAAATCTTTATTATAAACGTCGTTCAAAAAAGTTGTTGGTACGCTTCTAACTTTGGATCTCTCTCTTAATAAAATTCTCATTTACTATAATGAAGCAGCAATGTTGAGCTTTTATAAAAAAAATGTTCATCCAACAAAGTAATAGTTGTTATCATATTGTCATGGCAATAAGAAATACTTTATGTTTATATTAAATCTTTGTCGAACTTATTAAAAAAAACTACCCAACATCCAACAGTAGGTTGAAAATGTGACCATTGTTGCAATGAAAATAGTTCATTGAATTAACAATTAATTTGTTGTTAAATTCACATAAATTTTATTAATATAATAAAAAAAGTTTTATTTTAAACAAAAAGTGATTTGTAAAATTTACAAAATTTCTATGAATAATACCATTAGGGTTTCATTAATACTACAAAATGTTTTTGTAAACGGTCTAGAACTGTGTTTTTGGACAAATAATAACAACTATATTTATCAATGGCATTAACGCGCCATTTTAGAAACACTCTGTATAAACAATATAAAAATCTCAAGAACGTTATATTTCAAAAAATTCCATTGTCAATAATATTTTTATAGTCCAGTCCAGCTACCTTATATTTAATTTTGTAAAAGAAATATTACAAAATGTGTCTTACCTTTTGTAATGTTTTATCATCTGAGGGATTATCAGCAGCCAAATCACAAGCAATATAAGATGTAGCTTTATCAATTGGATTTAAGTCCAAAACGCACCCATGGTAACGGTTTCCTTTACATTCATCCTCACCATGACAAAGGAATTTTCTGTTTACAGATTGACTGTGGTAACGGTTTCCTTTACATTCATCCTCACCATGACAAACGAATTTTCTGTTTACAGATTGACTGTGTATATATATATATATATTATAGACTATAGTCTAAAATTGAATTATCATTAAAAAATAAATATAAGCTCTAATATAATAATTAAGCAAGTCACATATTATGTAAATGTTGTGGAAAAGATAGTGCGTGACGATACAACGTTTTGGTTAAATTTTTTTTCTGGAAGCGTCAAGTCAAACACCAGCAGCACTAGATATATCCTTGTTAAAACTTACCCGTCCAAATGGAACTAGATCCAACTTGATATTTTGGAGTTTCTTAAAACCTGGAATGGCTTGTTCGACCAAATACTTAATGCTGCCTGGACATAGCGATGCATAAAATACTGTAACTTTAACTTCCTTTGCCTGTAAAAATATTTTACTATTAATCTAAAAGTAAAGCTCGTATTAATACCACAATTAATTTACTAAATACTTGTTGATTTGACTAAATATTCATGCATTATATCTTTGACAAGAAAAGCATAAAAGGCTGTTTTCATACAGAATTACACATAAATATAACTGTAAAACTATAAGGGCCTCGACCTTGACCTTTAACCTTTGAACTTTAAAAATAAACCGAGTCCGCGGAACTTTGCTGTAACCATTGACCCTTTTTCTTTAAAACCTTATAGTTTTACAGCTATAACAATTGTTTCAACAATAATAATAATAATAATTAATAATAATAATAATATAAATAATAATAATTATTATAATAGATTTAAATTGCCAAAAATGCACTAACTTGGTCTTTATCTATGTGTAAAGTTTGAATTTGGACCTCAAATTACCTGATTTTAATAAAAGAGAAATATTTCTAAAATTGTTGCCTTACCTTTGGAGCTGCAAAAGCCACAACAAGAAGGGCGGATAGTACCAAAATCACTTTCATTTTTGCAAATATTTTTAATGAATTAAACTAAAAAATTAAAAAATCTCTTTATTTATATCGGAGATAAACTATAAATTATATGATGTTTCTAAGAATTTAGTTGACATTAAGGTTGTTGCGTAAAAGATTAAAAAAAAAATAAACGAGACAACCCCTAGTGACTTACCTTGCTTATTTTCTGACGGATTGAACTGTAGTTCTGGTTCTTCATAAATTGCCTTTGAAATAAGGAGCACCACCACACAATTTTCTTGCCGGTCGAGAAGCGTCGAATTTTTAAGTATGCGCGTTATTCGGTGATTCTTACACGTGTGTGTCCGCAATTGTCTGTATCAGGCGTTATTGCCACCAGGGGCGTAATTATCGCGAAAAATAATAAATTTAACAAATTAACCATTGAATTAAGGCAACCCACATTGCACATAAATCTAAATATACATTTAATAAAATTAAACTAAAAAAAATTAATATTAAATTAATATAGTGTTGAAGAAAACTCAACATTTTCCGCCGACCTTAAAAAAATATATTTTTTTAAACGAAACAAAAATAAAGTGAAATTAAATTAATAGAGGGGTAGAGGACAGAGTTTGACAACTGCCCTTTTAAAGACTCCATGCGCCGTTCTCACCGAGGCTACCCGTGTCACCCCATCTGCACCAGGGAAAACTTCTACAATACGGCCGAGTTGCCAGTTAGCAGGGGGAGTTAAATTAGACTTAATCACAACCAAGGTACCTGGTATTATGGGAGTACTTGGATCGGTCCATTTCCCCTTCTGTTGTAAATTGTGTAGGTATTCTATATTCCACCTCGACCAAAAGTCTTGGTGTAATCTTTGCAAAAGTTGCCAACGCGAGAGTCTATTAATTTTAAGGGAAGTTAAATCGGGATCAGGAAGTGCAGAAATAGGTTCAAGGGTTAGAAAGTGACCGGGGGTAAGCGCATTTAGATCATTTGGATCAGAACTCAAAGGGGTTAACGGACGCGAATTTAAAAGAGATTCAATTTGAACCAACACAGTATATAATTCTTCGAATGTTAAGATTTGTTCACCGATCACCCTGGCTAAATGGGTTTTAACAGACTTTATGCCAGCTTCAAAAATTCCTCCGAAATGAGGAGCCGCGGGTGGATTAAAACACCACTCAATAGCCTCTTCCAAGCAAGCTTCGCGCATAATTTGTCGCAAATATTTACTGGCACCTACGAAATTGGTACCGTTGTCTGTGCAAATCTTGGAACATCGACCACGGCGGGCAATAAATCGTCGAAGTGCAGCGAGGAAAGCTTCAGTAGAGAGGTCAGATGCAAGCTCCAAATGTAAGGCCTTCGTGGCCAAACAAACAAAAAGACACAGATAGGCCTTAGTAGTCTTTGCACCTCGATGCTTTGACATGAGAATAAAAAAAGGTCCACCAAAATCAATCCCAACATGAGAAAATGGTTTTAATTGAGAAATTCTACTAGCAGGCAAATTCCCCATGGGAGGTTGATAAGGCTTTGGATTGAGTTTCCAACATTTTTTACAGCGACCCACAATAGATTTGATAGCTCGCTTGGGGGATAAAATCCAGAATCTTTGGGTTAGTAAATGTTGGAGTGTTTGAGCACCAGGGTGAAAGTGTTTGTTATGATATTCTTCAATTATAAGAGCGGTTAGTCTACTTTTCTGAGGTAACAACGCGGGAAATTTTTGATCATAGGAGAGTTGCGAGTTTTTAAGACGACCGCCGACCCTGAGAATACCTGATTCATCAATAAATGGGGATAGTTTTCGAAGGGGTTTTGATACGCGTTTATTTTTTAAATATCTATCTAGATCGTCGGCGAAAGATATTTGCTGAACATGCTTAACAAGAACCATGAGAGAGTTGTCTAGATCAGAAGTTTCGAATGACGACTTTCGAGAATGAGGATGTTTCAAATTATAAACAAAACGAAGGGCGTATCCAATAATTCTTTTAATTTTACCTAAAGAGGAAAGCTTGGTTAGGAGAGTATCCAAACAATGAGGGTCATCAAAAGCTGCTAAGACAATTCTCCTTTCTTCGAGATGCGTTTCGTTAAAAGTTACACTGCAAGTAGGCCAGGAAGAAGGTGGAAGTTTTAGAAATTGAGGTCCTGTCCACCAGAGAGGGTGACTTATTAATTCAGAAGGTAGCAACCCGCGCGATGCGCAATCTGCGGGATTTTCCTGTGTGGGCACATGGCGCCACATAGAAGGAGAAGTTTTATCCTGAATAGCAGAAACCCGAAAACTCAACAAAGGTTATCGCTCATTCAAGTTAAATTTAGACAATAATTAAAATTTATCACAAAAAAACAAAAATTGTTGTGTATAATATCCATAACAATACTTTTCGCGACATTAAAGAAAAAAAAAACTACAAAAACTATAACAAATATGACAAAAAGTTTCCAAAATCCCTTGGTTTCAAACAATACACTCACCTTGAAAAGAGATAAAATCCTAGGTTGGTTTTTGGTCTCTCAATAAACAGTGTTAATACGAATGAAGAAATAAATTGCATACAGTCCATGTAAATTATTTACCTATTAAATGCAATAAATACACATTTTATTAATGATTTACTAAGTAAATATAAACTTTACCTATTAAATGCAATAAATACACATTTTATTAATGATTTACTTTTTTGACAGCCATTTAAATTATGTTATTTTTCGTCATAATATGACGCAAATCCCCCAATAATTTCAACATTAAATTTTAACTGATAACAAAACTCAGGGAAGTTTTCAATCAATATGACAATATGACACCAAGACTGTCAATTTCATAAAATAAATTTTAATGTCACGTTTTGGCAATTTGAATTTTAAAGCTATAAACGAGCTTACTTCCTAAGAAGTCCCAGAATCCAACTGAATGGCTTGAGCGGGTCAGGGGCAGGAACGGACCGCGGGCTTAAAGTCCCCCTCCGAAGGACTATTCTATCTATGATCTATGATATAATATGAAAAATACATTATTTAATGTTTTATAGTTTGTAGTGAAATTGAAAAATTTAGTTGTGACACGCCAAGGTACTGATGTTTTGAATATTTATTATGTTTTTCTACAAACGTGCTTTTGAAAAAATACATTAAAATTGGGTGGACAAGTTAAAAATACCTGGATCTTTTGTAATATATTAAAATATTTACAAAAAATATTAAAATACCTACTCTATTGACTGATGACATAAAGTTGTTCAACTTTTGTAAAATCACCTATATAATTAAAAAATAACATTTTTTTAAAGTTAAAATTACTACTTATTAAAATTATATCAAATATATTTGCTGTTTTTTTTGTCTGATTGAAAAGCTGAATGCTTGAAATCAATAATTGATATATAACTTTATTCGGTTTCATTTTAAAATTATTAAAAATAACATTTTTTTAAAGTTAAAATTACTACTTATTAAAATTATATCAAATATATTTGCTGTTTTTTTTGTCTGATTGAAAAGCTGAATGCTTGAAATCAATATTGATATATAACTTTATTCGGTTTCATTTTAAAATTATTACCCCTAACAGTGAAAATATTTATTGATTAATTTTTTTTTTCATATAAATTTAAATGTTTTAACATTTTGTTTTTTTGACTTTTAACTGATTTTCAATATTTTTTCTCTTATAACTTGATACATAACATTTAGTAGTTAGCAGTAGTATTATAAGACGATTAAAAATATTTTAATCCCAAAGTATATAATTTTGATCAGCTAAAATCCAAATTGTTACACCACCCCACGGTGCAAGCCAGTCATTTGTTTTAATTACTATAACAGAAACAAGAATCTGCGTTGGCCGTGGACCCTTCATCATCCGCCCTCTTGATGCTCTTTTTTCAGCAATGGACGGCAAAAATTACGACGTCATGTGTTGGTCGGATTTTATTTCGTTTGCCGGTCCGTAGATTTATTGCGTTACTGGCAATTTGCACGGGTAAATCAAGAAGGGCTTGGGCATCGGCGGTTTGCGTGTTTTACCGATAATTGAAGCTGCGGACACGCTTCGAAGACCCATTGATTGAGAATTCAATGTGGAGATTTTATTGAAAAAAATAACATGTTTTCAAATAATTTACATGTATCGACATGGTTTAAAACGGATCACGGATTGTATATAAATGGTAAACCCTGTATGGGTACTTTTTACAAGCTTTGCATTTGTTAAATGTCATTTAATAATAATAATATTATATTAGCTTTTGTTCTCAATTTGTCAAAAATATTTTAATTATAGAAAACATATTTTATTTGCTGCTGTTGCTCGACGAACTCTTTTTTTCGGTTGAACACTCCCGTTTGTAGTAAACTGCTTGACTGTACGGTGAAATGAAGTACGTGATCGAATTTTTTCCGGAAAACGCTGAACGTAGATATTAACATCATCATTAAGATTCCTGCCTGCTTCTCCATAAATCAAAATCATTTTTATTTTTTCTTCCACTGTTAAAAAATCCATTATGAATAACTGCTTAACGAAAGGAGGTCTTTTTGTTTGCAAAATAATCTTCGAACTAAATTGATTAAATAATGCTAAATTATGTATAAATAGTTTCTTCATACCTCAATAAAAATTATTATTTATACCTAAATACCATTTTTATACCTCAATTAGGATTAAATTAATTAATTGTCAAAATAATGTTTTTTTAACCTTAAATGAGGTATTTTTATTAAAAATAGTACAATAATCCTTTAAATAAAAGGATTTAATGCTGGCAGGTAAAAAGTGACCAATTGATAATTATCACCGAATGAAATAATGTATAAAACTTAAACTTAAATATTAGTTAAAAATCGTGGGTACTTAAAAAATCAGATTTAATTTAATAAGATAATTATTACCAAAAAAAAAAGATATTTTTATAGAAAAGTTATTGCAGAATCGCATACAGAAGAAAAATCGAACAAAATTGATTTTTTTACAGCGCCATATATTACAAGTATGAAAAAAAGTCTTAGACAAAATCTACCTA